GTCATTTATGAGTGATTTACTTTTTATGTATACTGGCTAATATAACTTAAATGATGATAATTTATACCTATGTGATGCTTCACAGTTTACAAAGTATTTCCATGTGAGTATTTTTATTTGATTACCAGGAAAGCCCTATGGGGATAGCTAAGCAGGAATCTTTATTATCTAAAAATAAATTGAATGTCAGAAAGGTTATTTGATCACTTCACGAAGCTAATAATAGGTGGCAGAACCAGGCTTTGATAGAACACAAATATTGGCATAAATACTATCACATTCATTTTCCCTAAACCACCAACAGAACTGTCATTAAATTGTCATCAAATACATGGGCTGTTTTAAACCAAAAAAAAAAGCACATTCTTTAGGATTTTAACCAAGTTTTCCAAATAAGTTAGTAGATACTTCTGTGGATATTTATGCAGTAATTTGTTTTTCACTAAATGGTACCCCCAAGATTTATCTCTCTGTAGTTAACTGGATGTATTGTTTCATGGATTGTGTCCTGTGGTTCCAACTGGGGTAAGTGACAGCTGTCTGTGCATTAATGAAGCTTGAAGGCTGTTTTCCATCAGAAGGAGGAACAGATCATTGCTTTTCACCCTTATCCTTTGAACTATTTAACTTTACAGCCATCTGAGTCAACTTTTATTCTTTTAGTACATGTTCTGGAATTTTAAAAGGAGAGAGGCAGAGAAGTTCAGCTCCTAAGTAGACAGCTTTTGTCAAATGTTACTCCCGCGTTGTGTTTTACAAGGTTCCTTTTGTTCTGTGGTAAATGGCAGTGTCTTTCAAGAAAAAAAGTGGTAACTTATAAATATCTCCTTTTGCATTCGATTTCTGTGTACCTTGTAGAATGCTTAAGTTTGGTTCACAGTATGGTTTTTCCTTTAAGAAGCATGAGGAGATCATTTTGCTTTCTGATATTAATTTTATGTGTCACTCTTAAGAAGTTCTTGAGTGGTGGAAAATGGATGTATAAGAATCATTTCTTTTTTTCAGGTTTCGTTCTGCTTTTCTTAGATGGTATTTTAAGAAGAAACACTGTCTTCTGAGTTTTGATGGGGAAAAAAAAACGGATCAGCCTCTGACTTCCAGAAACCCATCTGGCTCAGTGAGCTGGGTCATGTTATTCTTTGACTAGACATAAACAATCTCACAGAATCCTAATCTCAGACAAGGTTACTCTGAGATCATGATAAAAGGAGATAAAGCGAGGTCACTCCATAATTCTGTCTCAGCACAGACAAAAACAGGGTCACTATGCCACCCACAGAATATCAAACACTGCCTTACTCATCTGAAATGCGGGACGGTTACTTCCTTATCAATTATGGCTTGATCTTTATTCTGTCTCCCCTCCCCATCAATAAAGTTTATTGAGCTATTTAATCATAGAAGTTTCTATGCTTTCTGGCAGTATGCAGTCTTGACTGAACCCTGACCTGCTAGATCCTCCCCCAAATAACTCAAAGACAAAATTTTAGACTAGGCTCTCTTTGTCTTCTACTGAGACATGTCTTGATTCCCAAAGCAAAAGAAATCTGAAATTAAACTTGCTTCAACTAGAAGTGCATTCTTATTGGTTTTGACTGAGAGATATTGAGGGGAATTTTAAAGATTTTTATTAGTCTCAATAGTTATAGGAAATTGAGCAAAATTGTGTAGTTTTTTAATGGTGGTAAAGCAAAGATATACTCATGTTTTTTTTTCCATTTCATATAATTTCTAATATGCCCCTTTTACTCATTTCCTCACAAGTAAATTACCTTTTGAATTGTTTGCACTCGGATTTTCTTTCAGTAGTTGTATGGGCTGGAGAGATAGTACAGCGGTAGGGCGTTTGCCTTGCACGCAGCCAACATGGCCAACCCTAGTTCGATTCCTCTGCCCCTCTTGGAGAGCCCGGCAAGCGATCGAGAGTATCTCGCCCACACAGCAGAGCCTGGCAAGCCACCCGTGATGTATTCGATATGCCAAACACAGTAACAACAATGTTTTTTTTAGAAAGTACAAAACTTTAGAGATATATTAGGAATACTTGGGCTTTGCATGCTGAAACCCAGGTTTGATCCACGAAACTATATAGGGTCACCCAAATACTACCAGAAATGACTGTTAGGCACCAAGACTGGAGTAACTCCTGCCACCACTGGATGTAGCCTCAAGCTTCAACATAAATTAAAAAGTAAAATTAAATAAAAAGTATAGATGCAAGAAAGGTAGCTGGATGGAATGTAGCATGTGCTTTGCATGTGGAACTGCTTTTTTCTTTTTCCTTTTTTTTTTTTTGGAATCACCATGAGATACAGTTACAAAGCTTTCATGTTTGAATTTCAGACATACAATGATCGCACACTTCTCCCTCCACCAATGCACGTTTTGGGACTTCTGCTTTGATCCTTGTCACTGCTGGATTCCCTGAGTACCATCAGGAGTAACCTCAAGTACTGAGCTGAAAGTGACACCTGAGAACCACTGGATGTAGTCTAGAAAACAAACTAAAAAATGTTAAAATGTAGCAAAAAGTTATTTTAATCAGTAAATATATAAATGTTTTAAATTTCTTATGGAAAGGACATTGTATTATATAGTACAAAATTTGCAGTTGTGAATTGTTGAAAAAATAAATCTATGCACATATTGTAGTAAATTAACCACTGAGTCTGCTTCTATACTTTATCATATAAATGTCCCTTTTGTCTTAATTCATCTGCTTTTTTCCTTTGCCCTTCTTATAACCACTAATTGTTCTGATAGACCAAAGGACTCTTCTCATTTAGTGCATTCATTTAGTTCATTTTATTTATTTTTATTTAATTAATTTTCCCTTTATGCCACAGTGAGTAAAATTACGAAATGTTTATCTTTCTCCTTCTGACTTATCACTAAAGATAATGATTTTAAAAGCCAGAATGATAGTTTAGTGGGTAGTGTGTTGCCTTGCACATGGCAAACCCAGGTTTAATTCCTAACACCACAAAATGTGCCCTGAGCACTGTCAGGCATGATACTGAGTGCATGGCCACACATAAGCCCTGAGCACCACTGGACGTGAACCCTCCCAAACAATATATATGTATGCTGTACAGACATGAATTTCGGGCTGGAGCGGTAGCACAGTGAGTAGAGAGTAGGGCCTTTGCCTTGCACGCAGGTTTTATTTCTCTGTCCCTCTCGGAGAGCCCAGCAAGCTACTGAGAATATCTCGCCTGCACAGCAGAACCTGGCAAGATCCTCGTGGCATATCTGATATGCCAAAAACAGTAACAGCAAGTCTCACAATGATGACATTACTGGTGCCCACTTGAGCAAATCGATGAACAACGGGAGGACAGTGCTACAGACAGTGCTATCTACTTGCCATCTGCATGTTTTCTTGGAAGAAGTATCTATGTAGATTTTAGCTCATTTTTAATCAGATTATTTTTATGTTGACTTTGATGAATTTTTATAATTTAAATATTAACCCCTTGTCTAAAACATCATATGCAATTCTTTTCTTCCCACTTCAAAGGTTGTTTTCATTTTCATGAAAGCTTTTTTTTTCACTGTGCAGGAGCTTTTTCATTTGCTATAATTTCATTTGCTTGTTTTTGCTTTTGTTTTCTTTTCTGGTAGATTTAACTTCCTAAACACATCAGTGAGACCGATGTCAAGAATATACTGCCTGTATTTTCTTTTGAGTATTCTTTGGTTTAGTTCTCACATACAATTTATTAATCCATTTTAAACTGGGTACTTTTTAAAACCTGTTGGTTTTAGATAGTGACCTAGTTTTATACTTTTACATGTGGCTGTTGATTTTCCCTACACTATTAATTGAAGAGATGTTTCTTGCTACATTGTAAGCTTTTGTGTATTTTGTCATAAATTAGCTGTGCATATATATGTAGTTTTGTTTCTGGGATTTCATTATTTTTAATGTTCAGAACCAGAAATACTCAAGTTTGCCTTAAATTGGAATCGCCTTAAATATTCATCAAGGGTAGAATTATGATATTTTCATACTCTAAAATAACACTGAGCAATTAAAAAGTAACTAATATTACATACAACTGCATAGTCTCAAGAATCACATTGAGTAAAAATGTCAGACACAAAATAGTATCACTATGATGTATAAAAACACATAAAACTTAGCTATGGCAATCAGTATTAGAAAAGTACCAGCTTAAGGAGAGGGCTACTATAAGGAGATGAAGAGGGATTTTTTGATATGATGTGCTTTTTTCTATTCTAGTGATTGCTAGTAATACAGTACTGTATCACTGTATCACTGTCATCCTGTTCATAGATTTACTCGAGCAGGTGCCAGTAATGTCTCTATTTGTCCCAGCCCTGAGATTTTAGCAGCCTCTCCTTACTCATCCTTCCCAATGATTGGAGGCTCTTTCAGGGTCAGGAGAATGCGACCTGTTATAGTTACTGATTTTGGCATATCGAATACACCATGGGGAGCTTGCCAGGCTCTGCCCGAGCGGGCAGAGTACTCTCAGTAGCTTGCCAGGCTCTCCAAGAGGCATATATATATATATATATATATGCCTCTTGGAGAAATGTATATATATATATATATATATATATATATATATATACACTTCTCTCTATGATTTTTTTGCCTACTGTCCAGACTCCATCAAACATGATGTTGCAACTATGGAAAATGGGTAAAAGTGTCCTATGATATATGTGGATCTGGAAAGTGGCCTGGAGCGTGATGGAAGTTAGGCAGTGGAGGTTGGCTGTCAGAGCTGGGTTCCCCGGAGTGGGGAGGTCACCCGTCCCCCTCTGGGGCGCCTCTAGTGAAAAGAGCCTGGTGTGGAGACCGTGAGTACATAGTACTATTTTAAATAATCAAATTACACACTAAATATGTGTGCATTTTTCTTAAATGTATGTATATTTTAATTCATCAAAAGGGAAGAAGCAACAATTTGGGACAAGTAGTTAGATGATTGAAAGTTTATATGGAAGATGATTCAAAGTTTATATGGGAGACTATACTTTCAGGGATCATTTCCATAGTTCTTTACTAGAGAAGTTTCTCTGATCCTGTAGAGCACGTGAAACATGAGGAAGACCCTGAGCATCCTCTCTTGAACATGAATCTGGTTCTATGTGTTGCTTGTGCAACTACCTTTTACAATTGATAATGGTTCTTCTCTTTCTTAATGAGGGAAAGGGAGAGGATGCAGTCTGAGTGGTTTCTTGGGAAAAAAAGTTTATACAGCACATTGGGTTTTACCAACTCTAATAAAATACATTTTTACACACTGGATAGTGAATATACATTTAGAATTCTTACCTTAATCAAAAATTTATTTAGAAAGAATAGAGTGCATGCACATTTTTCCTGAATAATGCATTTTCACACATTGACCTGCGTGTTTACACTTTTGGTGAATGAGTCAAGGCTATCTGGGAAGTTTTGCATTTCCCAAATATCTGGTATCTTTGTAGCAGTTGATTATTTTATTTCTCAGAATGTGGAACTTTCGCAATTGTGGAACTTTCTTTCAAAGTAAGAACAGGTCTAGGTATAGAAATACCTGACATTATTTAAGTAAAATGTGATCTTTTGCTGGGAGCTCTATTTGAAAGCCAACCTAAAATAAAAATTAAAATTATTTTAATTTCTTTCAAATGAACTCTCAATTGTGTTATATTGATTGCATTGGTAATACTGATATATTGCCTATTTTTACCCCAGTACCACAACGATTAATTATTATCATTTTGTAGTATAGTTTGTATACATTTTAGTAGTATAGTATGTCAGGTCACTAGATAGCTAAATATATATATATATATATATAAATTTTCGTCACACTGGCAATGGTCAGGGGTTACTCCTGGTTCCGCACTCAGAAATTACTCCTGGTGATGCTCAAGAAACTATCTTGGATGCCAGGGATTGAACCTGGGTGGGCTGTGTACAAAGGCAAACACCCTACCTGCTATACTATCACTCTGGCCCTAGTAAGTAAAGTGTTAAAAATAATTTTGATGATAGTGCTTTCTTCTCTGAGATGTCTATGATTTCCAACACATTTTACTATTTATTTTATTCTATTTCTTTGAACAGTGCCAATAAACCAAGAGAATAAACTAATTAAATATAATGTCAAACACTTAAATATAAACTTGAGGAATAAATTAAACAATATGAACTCATTGCAAATTATCATAGAACTTGCAGATTAGTCAGGAATAATATTGGAATATTAAGGAATATAAAGAAGGAAATTAGAATTGCTTTTATTTCATCTTTTGCATGTATGTATATGTGTGTGCAACTTCAATCCAATAGAGTAACATTCAGTCTTTATATAGAACCATGAGTATTCATAGTTCTATGGTTCAATAAATGGTGGTAGGGCGTTTGCCTTGCACGCAGCCAACATGGCCAACCCGAGTTCGATTCCTCTGCCCCTCTCGGAGAGCCTGGCAAGCTACCGAGAGTATCTTGCCCGCACGGCAGAGCCTGGCAAGCCCCCCGTGACGTATTCGATATGCCAGACACAGTAACAACAAAGTCTCCAATGGAGACGTTACTGGGCCCGCTCGTGCAAATCGATGATCAACGGGAGGGCCTTTACATAGGCCTTTAGGGCCTATGTTTCAATAAATATGATACAGTTATAGTTTGTATTTGTGGAACATTTACAAAATTTGACAATATACCATCCTACCACATGGCAAAGCCTGGCAAGCTGCCCGTGGCATATTCGATATGCCAAAAACAGTAACAATAATGGGTCTCATTCCCCTAATCCTGAAAGGGCCTCCAATATGGCAGCATTGGGAAACACAAGTAAGGAGAAGCTGCTAAAATCTCAGGGCTGGGACGAATGGAGATGTTACTGGCATCCACTCGAGTAAATTGATGAACAACAGGATGACAGTGGTACAGTGAAACAGTGATCCTAACCCACAAAGGAAGTTTTAAGAATATCAATTAATTGGTAGTATTAGGCAATTTTTATTAGCCAGCTTACAATGATGTTGAATAACATTGTTTAGTCCTTTCTCCCCCACAGCAGGGAGCTTACGTTTGTTGAATTACACCCAACATAGTGCTCCTAAGAAATCTCTATTTATCTGTGTTTATGTTTAACCTCTCCTCTGTCCTCTGCTTCCCCAATCTGTTAATCACTTATATCCCCAAATCAGACCCTGTGCTTGTAAAGTCATACTCTTCTGAGGACTCTGGATTTTGGATATGCAAATGAAATATTGCTTTTCTCTTTCCTTTATCTCCTTTCCATTGTTTAAATTTAGAGCAATGTCCTTTTTGTCTAGACACAGGAAGACTGCTAATGCTATGCCTTTGTAACTTGGGAGTTAATTGACTATGAATAATATTTACTCCCCATTTGTCATATTGACTTGACTTAAGCCTCAGTTGCCCAAAAGGAAGGTCCTGGTGAGGAACTCACATGGACCCAGGGCAAGCTGTAAGTTACCAGGGAATCCAAAAGGGACAGGCTGTACCCAGCCCTAACATCAAAAGGGACAGGCCAAGTACCATACAACATATAATAAGTTAAGAGCATGGTCATGGACAAACTCTGTCATCACCCAAAAGGAACTTAACTAGTTAAGGACCTTGCTGGGGTTAGAAAAGACTAATCTGGCCTGAGGACTGTAGTCTGGGATATATAACAAGATGTCCCCCTGTAGAGACACCCTTTAAGCTTAATATATCTCTTACTGTATGAATACAAAATGACTAGAAATATTATTCAGATGTAAATTTAAGATGACTGTTTAAATCGATTTGGCCTAAGGAAAGAACTACATCCTAGATGGAATTCTGCCCTTGGGCATATCTCCTGGTAGGAAGAGATTTTGTCCTAGAAGAAGCTTCCCTTCAAGAACGGGCTTTATACTTGTTGATTGTGCAACCATACCTATGTGTAATTGCTTCCGCTAACTTCTGAAGATTTTTTCTCTATAACTAAGGCTGTGGGACTGGGCTCAGTGGAGACTGGAACAACTGCCATGGTGAAACTGGAATAAAGAGATTATCAACCAGTCTGGTGGCCCCCATTCTCTCCTTCAGTCACCTGTCACCTTCCACCAGCCAGCTTGGGGAGGTGGTTTATGGTCACTGAATGCATGTGTCACACATCCACATTTTGAACTCACACAGTGTAATTAAAAATAAATAATGTATTACAATTGAATCTGGGTCAGCCACATGCAAAGCAAACAGAATGATAGCACAGCAGTAGGACATTTGCCTTACACGTGGCCGGCCCGGCCAACCCGGGTTTGACTCCTCCACCCCTCTTGGAAAGCCTGGCAAGCTACCGTGAGTATCTCGCCCGCATGGCAAAGCCTGGAAAGCTACCTGTGACATATTCGATATGCCAAACACAGTAACAACAAGTCTCACAATGGAGACGTTTCTGGTGCCCGCACGAGCAAATGAATGAACAATATGAGGACAGTGCTACAGTGCTACAGTGAATGCATTAGAACTTGATTGATTCTTTTTCTAAAGGGACCTTTAATTTTATATGGCCAGGGATTTGGTGCCACATCTCCTGATGGTTTTGTTTCACTTACTCCTGGCTTTGAGCTCAGGAATCACTTCTGGTGTTGGCCAGGGGACCATATGCAGTGCTAGGATGGCAGCATGCATGGCAAATAAATACCTCACCCAATGTATGATCCCTCTGGCCCAGTGAAGCTTCTAGTTCGTGATAATCTTTGATCCACTTGCTTTATCACGTTCTGCAAGTCTTCCCAGTAATCATTACTCAATATCTTTCTAAAGGAAACCCACGAGAAAGATAAATATATAAATATTTAAATATATAAATACATAGTAACAAACGGAAAAATCTAAAAACAGTAGAAATAGTGACAAGTATATTCCTGTTGTGAGAAAAGGCATGTGGTTTTTTCTGAAGAAAACTACTAAACCAAGAAGCTTTATGAAAGTTTAAAGATAGATAGGGGTTGAGAATAAAAGTGGTGAACAATGAAAAATCATTTTGTTTCCTGAAATTATGAAACTGGACTCTTAAAAGACTTGGTTTGTCAGCTGTAAGCAAAATATTGAGGAGAGATAGAACTTAGGAAGACTATATTTCTGAGGTGATGTGTCCTTGACATCGAAAAATGCTAAAGAGTCAGACAGTAGACAGCTTAATGATGGCATGTGCCAGCTTAGGACACCCATGTTCAGGTCATTGCTTCCAGAGTGATGTTCTCAGTCACCTCTAATAATTATTTCTGCGTGGGGTATGTGATTCAGTAAAAGGAGGAAGTTCACAGACCACTGTGCAAAGAGAAAAGAAATAGAGAGGAACTCAGAAAAAGAAAAAAGAATGAGGAATCCATTTAATGATTTATTTGCTTAAAGGACCACCTATGCTTCTGATTCTAACAAAACACACACTGAGACAATTGCAGACCAATGATAATCTAGGAAGATAATCTGTTTCCTCATCTTCAAAAAAAAGGTCTGTTACACCAAATAACATTTTGAATTTAATCCAATCTCACAGTCTACTTTTCTGGCTTAAAGAGTACCAATGTACCAGCTTCAACAATTCCAATTTACTCTGCCCCAGCTGGAGAGATAATACAGTGGGGGAGGCTCTTGCCTTCCATTTGGCTGACTAGAATTTGGTTCCCTCACCCCATTCGGTCCCTGTGCTTCAAGAGGAGTGATCCTTGAGTAAAGAACCAGGAGTAAACCCCAAGCAGACGCAGGTGTGACCTACTCCTACCAAAGGAGTGAAAACATACCATTGTCAGAACTCAAGGAGGAAAGGAGGGAAACAATAGATGGTAGCTCCCCCAACCCCTAGTGTTTTCCCCTTTGTATACCTTTTTCCATATCTCACCCAAACCCAGCTCATTCTTTATCTTCACATTTAATTTTTAAAAGCTAGTAGTAAAACAAATAGGCCCATGCTATTTAATTTTCTGTTGAGATGTACTCTATAAAAAAATATGAAGACCTTACTACAGGTTAAAAAGAGCCAACTTTTCTCTAATATTGAAGCAATATGGATTTTAATTTAGTTTCTAATCATATATTGAAGCTACAGTATATAAAATAAATTGCACTCAAATTATTTACTTAGGAAAAATTAAAGTACTGGATATGTAGAAAATAATTTTATTCTCATAATTTTGCATGCGTATTTTATTGTGTTATAGGTACTTAAAATGCAAACATTATC